GAATCCACAGCAGGGAATCAGTTTCTGTAGGGCTCTCTACTTTCATGATTGATCTTAACCAGGTTGCCAAGGCAGTAAACAACGCCACAGAGAGGTCCTTGGTACTTGTGGATGAGTTTGGTAAAGGGACCAACACACTGGATGGGCTGTCCCTTCTGGCTGCTGTTGTGAGGTACTGGATCAGTCAAGGAACCCACTGTCCACAGGTCTTTGTCTCTACTAATTTTCACAGTTTAATGCAGCTAGAACTTCTGCCTGACACACCTCTAGTGGAGTACCTGACCATGGAGACCCACCAAGACGGAGATGAGTTGATATTTTTCTATCAGATCAAGCCGGGCATGTCGGCTGTTAGTCATGCAGCCAACATTGCTACATTAGCAGGGATGCCATCCAAAATTATTGAAAGAGGAGTGGAAGTGTCAGAACTGATTCGCAACGGGAAAGCTATCAAACGTATTGACAATCCTTCAAAAGAAGATCAGATGGAAAAATGCAAGTCTGTTGTGGAAAAGTTTCTTCACCTAGACCTTGATGATCCCCATGTGGACTTAGAAGAGTTCATGTGCAAAGAGGTGCTGCCTTCTGCAGCCTCAGTCCTGTAACAGCAGTATGTGTAAATGCAAAGATTACATCGTACCTACCATGTTCAGTAGGAGAGTTTGGTAATTTAAAGAATGATCACTGACTTAACACCTCACACTACATGTGGCTTGTAACAAACTGTCTACACTGTATGCCCTTTCTTCTTGTTTAAAAGAAGTATTGCAGTAACATATCTCTGCAATATGGTGTATGATATGAAAGCAGGAAGACTGAAAGGAGAATTCAAGAACCTTTTCTAGCTGTTGGGTCACCCAGTTTGTGCATTTTCTGCCTCTGTTGTTAGATCTTCAGATTAAAAAAAAAACACTGTAGAAAAAACTACAAAACATTTCTGCTGGTCTCATAAGACTGTGAAAAGAAAGTGTTTATTGTTTTGTACTGTGCCAAAGTGATCATTTCAGCCATTTTGGGATCAGCATCCAATATTCCAAAAAAGTATGTGCCTCAGACTCCCGTATCAGAAAGTAACAGTTGTCACAATACAAACCACTGATGAAGAGGCTGATAAATGGAAATAGAGAGAGACTGAATAAGCTCTGGTGCTTTTCTAATACCAACATTTCTGTCCAAAATGCCAGAGGTCCCAGGAGTTACTATACAAAGAATGCTGGCGGTCAGAATTAGCAGGGACTTTTAGACAGCAGAAGTGCTTTGGTTTTACTGAGAATCACTCTCTTCTCATAAGGTTCTATATGGTACAACTATGTACCTATACCACATGGGCATAAATAAAAGCAAAATTACAAACACAGGAAACTGAAAACTATACTAGGGATATAAGACAGAAATTCACATTTTATAGTCTATTTTCAAGTGTTGAGTAAAACTTAACATTAAAAGAATAGCAGAAGGGGAGGATTCCCTTTCATTTCTTTTGTCATGTAGAAGATCTTTACTGAACACAGTATTTGATGTATGCATATGCAACAAAAATTAATGAAGCAAGACACATGATATGTAAATACTACAGAAGTAATAGCCTTTCCTGCAATGAGGTAAGCACCTGAGAGTCCTTATCTAAATAAGACAGAGGAGACATTCAATAGCTTACTGTCTGACTGCTAAAACTTGCTGTAACTGCTTACAGTATGGCTAATAACTGACATCAGATCTACTGCATCTCTCTTTAACTATATTTGATTTCAAGAAGCCAAAAAAATTAATGTCACATAAATTGAGAGAAAATTTACGTTAAAAAAAGTAATTACTTTCATAATTATCAGTATCATCTGTAATATCATCAGTATTATCATCAGTATTATCAGTGAACATCTTATCTGGTATGTCTAGTTTGAAGATAGCAAAAAGATGAATGTGAGTGCACATCAAAAGGGTCTGAATTTGGAGACGCTGCTTTGGGTTTAATTCAATGTGGAATTTCTTCCTTTATGATGAAGGAATAATTATTATTACAAAATAAGTTTGTTATCTCTGTATGAAACTAGGACAGTTTAACATAATGTACATTAAAAAAATACAAGAATAAATGACTGGATCATGCAGTTGCTGCTCTTTCCAGTGCAATCATAATGATATTGCCTGCAAAATAGTATCTAGCATCTTGCTGGTGTCACCATTTAGATTGAAAGGTAACAGTGAATCAGGCCCTGACCACCACTTGCAAGTGTTATAGATACAAACAGATTTTTCTCACTAATATGTTCTCTTTTACTAATTATACATTCAGCATTATAAAGATATCCTGTACAGAAGAATATAATATATTAAATATTCATAAATTGTATTTTTGGCATTTATCTTGTCAACCACTGTCTAGGCCAAGGATATATTCCCTACTAATTAAGCAAATGCCATCAGAGCAGTTTAGCTGTCAGTCACATAATTCTACTTATCAAATCCATTTCACAGTATTTGCAGACCTGGATCTCCAAATGTCATACAGCATTTCTCAAGTGTGCCTCACAACAGTCCCTGAAATAAACAGCGGTCTGGACGAGTGAAAACCAGAGGGGTTGTGACTGACCTGTGGCAACATGGCAGGCTGGTGAGGGAAGCAGGAATAGAAATGTTACCTTCAGTGCAAAACTCCAGTTGCTGCTTTCATTGTGTTTCATTAGGTTCTTTGTATAGGGAATAATAATACTAACCCAACATTCTCATCATCCAAAGAGTCAATTACAGAAATAGCTAAACATGTGCAAGGAAATTGTATCCATTTATCTCCTTCCACAGGGACACAGAGAGGCACACTGTACCTCTTATTTTGGGGAAGTTTTCAGTGGCACATTTGTTCTCAGAACTGTTCAACTAAGCATGAAGAATGAGTTGCTCCCACTTCTGAGTGGGTAAATAAGTTCTTTAGCCTGAGAGGCTGAAGGGGGTACAGTACACCAGATAGCTCTTTTCTAACACACTTTATCTCACATTTTTATTCTTTATTAATGTCAGTTTTCAAGTTTTTTACATTCACCATTTTTAGCTTAATGCTGTGCCTTCAAAGTGGAAAGCTGATTTCTTAAGATCTTTATAATTTTGAATTCTCAGACTTTTTGCTTTGTAAATATCAGCAACAATTTTTGAAAGTTAAAATCTTTTCACAACATAAGCATTTCAGAAATGCTTGTAACTATATTAAGGTTTGAAAAACAGATATTTTTTTTTCCCAAAACATAACTTTGGTGGAATTTAGGTGTCATTATCAGGACAGTGGCTTAACAAAGTAGTACAGCTTCAGATAAAGAAACTGCCATTTCAATAAATTTTAATACAATTATAAAGCTATAGCTGTGATCTGTACTCAACTACTTCAGTTCTATTTGCTTTTTCATATGCTTTCTCACGTAATCTTCCTCTACTACTCCTTTCTTGTTTGGCATGCTGTTGTACGATCTGAAAATGCAATTAAACATTATATTAAAATGTACTACAAAATAGTTAGTGCTTTTATGTTTCATCTTTTCAGTAAATGCAGGAAACTATCTCAATAAATGCACGGACATAATGGAACAAAAACTGATAGTACAGACCAGTGCTCGCTGGTCCACTCCTGAGAGAGTGGATTCACAGAGAAAAAAAATCCTGGTAATTTCCAGATTTTTGATACATAATTATCTTTCTATACAGTGTATCTTTAGAATACCACACGCATTATCCAGCATTATGGACGACTAAGGAAGATGATTTGGAATGACATTGACCTGGTTCTGTCAGCAGCAGTGACTATCAGAGCACAGAAAGCAGGCATCCTGGCTTATAGTTCACGCAAGGTAGATAAATGTAAACAAAACAACCAACCAGTCAAAAAAGAACCAAAATCCTGAATGGCAAAAAACCCACCCTGATTCTCTCAGATGTTTTAACCAAACACTTAAATTACTGAACAGCTGATGTTCTCGAAGAGCTGTGGATTTTTTAAATTAGCGTTTTAAGAAACAACTGTTAATACAAGCAAAAGCTCATGTGAGCTAAAAAACAGCTATAATATACCACCTACCACCTACGGACAAGTCCTTATTTCTGTTTCAGAGCAAGTATGTCTGCCCCTGAGTTTTCTGGATGTATCTAAAATCTCACTGCCTTCTTCCAACTGGTTTCACAATACTAAATTAAAATGTGCACTTTCAGAATTTTTTAGTTATTTCTAATGACATTTTACAGTATTTTTCTTGTGTGCTTACTATTAAAAATATATATTTATATTATGTACTTAAATTCTTTTTTTTTTTCCTGAAAATTATTTTCCTGGTCAATGTTAAAGGATCACATTAAACATGCTATACAATGTCAGCAAAAATATTTTAAGGAGATATACCTTATGTTAAATAATTAGTATTACTGTTATATTAGTATTAAAGAAAAAACTAGATATACTAGTGTTGCTTCTATATATTTATCATCACAATTATAACCTACTTTGATGTATTTGTATATTTTGTCAAAAAAAAGCTAATAGGCAAGAAATAACTGCCTGCAAGAGAGAATACAAAAGATATGTTTTATCACTACTCTGAAGTGCACCAAAGCATATTCAATAGAGGGAACCGACAGTCTGCATAGTATGCATATAAACACTTTATTTGCTTATCTTCTCCTATAGAGTAACAAAACAAAACTATCCAGAAAAACTGCATGTATATAATCTACATCCTAATAACAGTTCTGTAATTTTGAACAAGTACTTTCATCCTCTGGTCTTGCCTAGTTTCACAAAAGAAAACAGACTACTATATTGCTGTACTGAAAATACCAAGAGTGGTAACAAAGTACAGAACAGAACTACTGTTTAGTAGATCTACTAACTATTTTTTTCTAAAAAAATCAGCATTTTCAAGTCTTACCTCTTCAGCATGATGCTATAGCATAAGCAACTCCTCTATTTGTCCCCAAATTAAACGTTCTAGATTGCTGCTGAGTTATGTGAAATGTGAGCTCACCTGCTTACGTAGCTGTGTTGATTTTGACAACTTCATGAAGGTCAGATGTGGTTTAAAAGCTCTTTCTTCTCCTACCAAGATGCCCTTTTCTTGAAATATCTTCTTCATAGTCTCTGAGGGGGGAGAAACATGTAGACGTACAAAGATATTAAATGACAGAATGCTTAAAAATGTGCTTTCTACTGCAATATCAGTCACAGGCACTCCACATGGAAAAAACAAGATGATGAGTACTAAAAGGCAGAGAGATTCCTAGTTAACTTCAAAGGTACATATTATTTCATGTGAAAATAGTCTTATATTTGCAGTTAATATGGGTCACAAATTTGACTTTACTAAAATAATGGCAATTAGAAAGCTGTCCATGATGTCTGCTTTTGCTATCACAATAGGAACTTGACATTAAAACTCACTGAAAGAGTTTTGGAAACTTCAGGAAAACAGAGTGTGTAACAGAACTGTCTCTCTTGAAAACCACTGTTCTGCGGTCAGTCCTATTACCTGTATGTGGTTAATCTCCAGCTCAGGCCAAAGGAAATCTAAAATGGAAAGCTGTAAATTCTGGCACTGGATTTACATGGCAGAATTAGAGAACATATCAGGTACGCTGATGATTTTTGTTTGGTTTTCTTCAAGCTTCATTGTTGCCTTCCAAGCTAATTTCCTATTGTTAATGTACATTTTTATCTGTCTACAGCTCAAACCTAAGCAACTCTACTACACTGACCTAGTTTACTGTTTCCCAACTCATTTGCCCAATGTAATGTTTCATTTCTTAGAAATAAATCTTAGTATAACTTTTGAATTATGTTCCGTATTTCTTTTAACTGAAATACTTTAAATGAAAAATTTGTACTTTTGAAAAAGTTTAGATAAGATTGATAAAACCGGTGGAAAAAGTAATACCAGTAAGTAGAATATTTCTATTACTGAAAACCAGAAAAACTGCAAAATGTTGTGGGTTTTTTTTCTTTTGCAAATTTAGCTTCTAATTTTTCACTAGCTGTAGGTCTAGCTGAGTCATACTATCCTTGAAGTAAAGTCAAATAAGGGGAAAAAATAAACCCAATCCTATCACATGAATTTAATAAACTCTTGCCATAATGATGTGTTTGTATTTAAGTGTATGACTTTTTCGCTTCATAGTTCAGCTCTAACAGAAAGGTTCAGTGCTTTATTCTCCCACCTGGAAGAAAAGGAATTACATGAAATGATCAGCGCAGCTGGCTGAAAAAATACAGGGAAGGCCCATGGAAGAGGAATACGGGCACATAAAGCTGGCCAGCATAAATATGCTAGTTCATGTTCCCATAATATGTCATTACAGAGCCCTTAGTTCCACCATTTTTTGTTTTCCATAGTAACAATTTAAATGAGCTACTTTGAAATCACAGGAAGAGATTTTACGAGTTTATTCATTACTTTGCAACAGAAAAGTTCTGGAGAAAGCTCAGAGTATTCACTTGGGACCTGGAGACTGAAATTCACTTCTCTTTCTCTGCTGCCTATGATTTATAACCTTAGGCTCCACAGTCTATGCAACTCAAGTTGGGATTTTGAAAGAAGCCAAGGAAATCAAAGACCCAAATGCCATCTCTTAAACAGGCCCACTTGAAAATTCTCTTTCAACCTTCACTCCCCACTTATAAGATGCTGATGCCTTTTACAAAAAAGACTTAGCCCAATTTTTTATTCTAACTCACAGGATGCTGAAAGGACAACCAGATTAAAACTTGTGAAGCATTTCCACAGTGGTAATAGGCACCATATTACTGTGGCAGATGCTGAAACTAACCTACCAGAATGGTTGAGGTTGGAAGGGACCTCAGGTGGTCATCTGGTTGAGCCCTCTTGCTCAAGCAGAGCCACCAAGAGCCATTCACCCAGGACTATGGATGGATTTTGCATATCTCTACTACACAACCTCCCTGGGCAACCTGTGCCAGTGCTCGCTCACCCTCACCTCACCATCAGTGCTTCCTGGCGCTCAGGGGGACCCTCCTGTGTTTCAGTTTGTGCCCATTCTCTCCCTCTCCCCCCGCAACCCATGTATGTGTGTATGTATGTATACACAAGCATAACTGCTATATAGATCTATGTCTCTAAAGCTGTATGTATCTAGATCCATAGGCCTACTATATAGCTCTAGCTATGTATCTGTACACAAATACAGCTTACCTACTTGTATTATTTTAAATTGTGTCTACAAGAAACAGTTCTAAATTTACACTGAATCCCCACTAAGCTGCTGTGCAGCTGCGCACACAAATGCTGCTGAAAAACAGATTAACATATCAAAACAGACAACTACAAACAAATGTTTGCTGCTTCTTCTAACTGAGATATGGAAGTTCAAATTAAGTCTTTTAGTTATGGTGTACATGTATTTCCACACATCCAATGGCCTGCTTATTTTCCAATGTTACAAAACTAATAAAATATTACACTTATTTAAAACTAAATTATCTGTAACAAAGCCATTTTCTGGTTTCTTTCTTTGGTTCTCTGAACTGCATCACTTGGAGACTCACTGACTTTGATGTTCCAGCAAAGGATTAGTCTTAGCAAAACCAGGTTTATGCTACCCTGTGATATTCTGACTCAGTCTTGTGGACTGTAGTCTTTTTTTCTCCCCTAAAAGCTCACATTCTTTCTGCCATCACGTCTTATGCCGAGAGAGTGTCTTATCTCCCACTCTGCAATTAAGAGCTGTACTGGTGAATACTTGCACCTCTAAGGGTGTCCCCCTAACTCTAGTAAGAGCTTAGTGTCAGACCAGTGGTTTGCCAATGTGCATCTGAGCACAGGATTTTAAGCCCAGTGTTGTCAACAAGGCAGACTGGCCACAGGGCACTATAAATGTGTGCTGCAGGGGGGCACCTACACTTCACACTGCTGAACTGCAACCACAGCCTGTGTCTTCACTTTGTGTTAAACAGCTTTGTTCAACATCTGCTTCTATTTATCTTCCTAAATTAATCCTTTTTTTTTTCATACCTGGCAATTCTAATGAAGAAAAATCATCATGAAAAACTGGGTCAGAAGAAAAGAAAGCGTATCTTCAGAGAGAGATTGCAGGTTTAAATTTAACAGATTTACATGTGTGTGTGTTCACTCATGTTCTCATGGCGATCAGACTTCTCATACCGCTTTGTCATGGCATAAACTGCTATTGAACACCACAGGCTCAAGAGATTTGCCACACCTGCTGCTACCACAGATAGCCCCAGTTTTGCAGTATTTGACACTTAAGGCAAGAGTGAGACTTTACTGGTTAAAGTTACTTACAAACATAATTAGCACAATGTTTCTTTCTGCAAAGATAATGAAAATAGAAATAAATCAGAGTAGATGGAGGGAGGAAAAAAAAAAAGAAACAAAGGGAAATGCTTTCCTGAGGACACAGGAAGGTTAAAAGATAATGTAATGCTATTAATATCCATGCAGCTCTTTGGAGAAGTGGCCACAAGAGGGGTTTTAAAAGAACTGAGGAAGGAAGCGAGGATGCTGTGGGCATGAGGAAGTTCTAGGCTTAGAGGACAGCATGAAAGTGGATTTGAAGACTGAACAAATACGTGAAGGTTAAAGTTTATGATGGAAATCGCCTGAACTGAAAGAAATTAGAGGTCAGTGACAAGAATGGTAGACAGACAGTGCCCATGGGTCTTAAAACATGAGGATCTGCCATCTTTACCCCAGACGTCAACATTACCAGCTAGACTGAAAAAAAATCAAACAACATCTGTGTTTTCCCTTATTAGAATCATAGAATAACAGAATTGGGTGGCAGGAAGCTTTAAAGATCATCCTAGTCCATCCTCCTGCAGTGAGCAGAGACATCTTCAGCTAGATCAGGTTGCTCAGAGGCCTGTCCAACCTGGTCTTGAATGTTTCCAGGGATGGATGGGGCATCTACCACCTCTCTGGGTGACCCGTTTCAGTGTTTCACCACTCTCATAGTAAGAAATGTCTTCCTTCTATCTAGTCTAAATCGACCCTCTTTTAGTTTAAAACCATTACCCCTTGTGCTATCACAAAAGGCCCTACTAAAAACTTTGTCTCCATCTTTCTTATAAGCCCCTTTGAAGTACTGAAAGGCCACAATAAGGTCTCCCCGTAGCCTTCTCTTCTTCAGGCTCAGCAGCTGCAACTCTCTCAGCCTGTCTTCACAGGAGAGGTGCTCCATCCCTCTGATCATTTCTGTGGCCAAAAAATGTCAGCCTGTCTCAGCCTGACCAATGTTTGCAGCTTCAAAGCATACCCTCAAGAAGTTTAGGCTATTTTTACAAGCTCAGTGACTTCCTGAAACAAGTTTTTGGACAGCTTTCAGACCGTCTCTCATGCAATTCGAAGTACTCTGAAATACCATTTTGTATCTTATTTTTATAATGTCAAAATTACCAAATGTCGTCTGCCTCTCTTACATTGGATGTGGCTGAATCCATTGGACAACTGTTTCCCCATAATTAGACTTGAAATGTGATATATGAAACTTAGTCAAAACTGGTATATACTGAAAAGGATCAAAAATTCAGCAACTCAACCCAGAATGGTTCATAGAAAAATTGCACATTGAGCCATATTTTGTAATACAAAAGGCCATCTTCTTTTCCAGGATTTCATTAGATATGTAAAACTGGTACGTATGTACATTTTCCTCCAGTTTCTTAATTTCTGTTTGTCTCTAAACCATGTTCTCTCAATTAAAAGGTTTAGAATTTAGAAACAGTATTCTGTCTCTTTATTGAATTTCTTTCTTCTTTGCACTTGGAACTGAAGAAAAACTAAGCATAGATAACTAAAAAAAAAGAACTATTATGTTGAATCATGTTAAGATTTTTAATTTTTTGTTTTTGTTGGCTATCAGTTAGCAAAAGCTTGGGTTTTACAAAGAAGCTCTTATAGAATCATTACCTGCTGGAAGCACAAACTCATAAAACTAACTGGTGTTATACTAGGTCTTAATTGTAACTGTTTATTTTCACTAAAATGCTCGTTCCTGTTGATAGCATTTGTCTGGTCAAGGGACCTAAACCAAAGAAAACTGTTATGTAGCACAAACCTGAATTAGAGAAGGCTGCATGCAGAAGACTCTGTAATATCAAAAGGCATG